GAGTGTGACTGAAACTTGCTGACTTTCAGGGAGGTGTTGCTATGCTTCCTCTCATCAGGGAACTTAGCGATCATCAGTGGGCTCTGTCAGCCATTGAAGAAGAGGGGAGTTTTTCAGGGTTAGCTCAAAGCTTACAGGGCTTCTGATTGGGTCATTGGTTCAAACTCCACCAGGGCAGAAGAGGTGCAGCTGTTTCAGTTTCCGGGATCATTTTATGTGTCTCTGTATGATTCTATCTGATTTTGGCTAATTTTGTCTTTGAAGCAGGAGGGAAAGCTCTTTGCTTTGGGCTGAAATCTGGATGTATGCGAGTTGTGGGTCATTTGATTCTCTTAAGTTCTACTGGTGTGAATGTGCTGACACAATTCCAGGAAAGAAAGATTGTTCCTAAAATGTTTTATGGCTGTATATGTTTATACTGGTTTAACTTTTTAATGTACTGAGTGAATTGGGCTTGTGCCATAGGTGGTCCAGTCTCCCTTTTATCTCCCATCCATAGTACATTAAGGAACCATTACACATTGTGTGAGACTTGTGAAGGAAAGAGGTGTAGTAGGGCTGCGGTATCTTTCCCAGTGGCTTTGAAAAGGGTTTCAGATAGGTTTGGATCTAGGAATAGTGTTAGGTCCTGGGCCACAGGCTATTAAGAGTACTGAAGGAATTGGCCGGTGTCAGCAGAACCACTGGCATGGCTGTTTGAGTGCTCGTGGCACTCGAGTCAGGTCCTGGCAGACTGGAAAAGGGCCAATGTGGTCATTATTTTCAAGAAGGGGAGGAAAGAGGATCTGAGTAATTTATAGGCCAGTCACTCTCACCTCCATCCTTGGAAAGGTCTTTGAAAAGATTATGAAGGATAATATTTGTGGGAATCCAGCAGGAAAAATAATGCAGGAGGGAAACCAGCGTAGATTCAAAGCAGGTAGATCATGCCTGACCAGTCTGGTTTCGTTTTATGACAGGGTCACAAAACGCTTAGACGCAGGAGTAGAGGTGGATGTCATTTTCTTGGATTTAAGCAAGGTCTTTGATACAGTATCTCATCCCATTCTAGAAATAAAGAGGCTCTGACAGAAGTTTACATGGTTTGGTGGGTGGCAAATTGGCTTGGGGGTCACACTCAGAGTGGTAGTAGACAGGTCGGTATCTACCTAGAAGGATGTGGGTAGCAGGGTCCCACAGGGTCGGTCCTTGGACCTGTACTCTTCAATATCTTCATAAGTGACTTGGATGTGGGTGTGATGTGTACTCTGTCCAAGTTTAAGGACAATACTAAATTGTGGGTTGAAGCACACACTCCGGAGGGTAGGAACAATCCTGGACAGGTTAGAAAAGTGGGCAGAACACAATAGGATGCAGTACAACAAGGACAAGTACAGAGTGCTGCACCTAGGGCGCAAAAATATCTAGCACACTTACTGGCTGGGAAAGGACCCTCTCAGCAGCACAGAAGTGGAAAGGGATCTGAGTCATAGTGGACTCCAAGATGAACATGAGTTGTCAGTGTGACGAAATCATCAGCAAAGCTAACCGCACTTTATCATGCCTCAGCAGATGCATGACAAATAGAACCAAGGAGGTGATACTTTCCCTCTATGCAGCATTGGGTACTGTGTCCAGTTTTGGGTGCCGTACTTCAAGAAGGATGTTGATAGACTCGAGAAGGTCCAGAGGAGGGCCACTCGTATGGTATGGGGCTTACAGGACAAGCCGTATGAGAAGAGACTGAGGGACCTGGACCTCTTCAGCCTCTGCAAGAGAAGGCTGAGAGGTGATCTTGTGGCTGCCTACAAATTCATTAGGGGAACGCAGCAAGGGATCGGAGATGTGCTGTTCAACAGGGTGCCTCTTGGGGTAACAAGGAACAATGTTCACAGACTGACAGAGAGCAGATTTAGGTTAGATATCAGGAAAAACTTCTTCGTGGTAAGGGTGGCCAAAATTTGGAATGGGCTTCCAAGGGAGGTGGTACTCTCCCCTACCTTGGGGGTCTTTAAGAGAAGGTTGAATAGGCATTGGGCTGGGGTCATCTGACCCCAGCACTCTTCCCTGCCCAGGCAGGGGGGCAGACTTGATCTGTTGAGGCCCCTTCTGACCATAGCATCTATGAATTTATTATTGTATGACGATGAGTTTAGCTGTTAGTAAGAAATGCGTTCATATAGGTCCTTAGGAGCCGTTCATTTTTCAGAAATGAAGAAAGTGGCTTGAGAGTCCTTGATCTACATAGCATCCATCACTGAGATATCAGGGTGCCACACTGTTAAGTGTATGTGTGTGGTTAATGCAGTGATTGCAGTTGTGTAGTTCTAGCTAAGCTAATTTTGACTGGCACTAATATTGCTAGTAGTGAAGTTGCAGCTGCAGAGGGCACTTTTACACATGCTCTGGGGGTGGGGTGGGGGAGCAGCTAGAGCCACTCTAATTAAAGCACTGCCACATCTCGTGTATCAGCATCCCCACACTTAAAAATGGTGGTGGGGGCACCCGAAGTAAAACTCTTTCAACAAGCTTTAGATAAAGTGCCCTTGCCACCATTTTTAAGTGTGGGGACATTGCATGAGACAGAGGAGGCTGCTGGAGCGCAGCAATTGCTACACTCCAGCAGACTTGATTTAATCAAGTCTGCTCTGATGTCCTGTAATTCCAGCATGTTGGAGCAGCCTCCACACTTGTGTATAGGCACCCATAGAGTCCAACTTATGCTGCCAAGTTTGGTGAATACTTGGGTCATTAGACAAATCTATTTGAAACCACTGGGAATTGGGTAAATACAATAGTTTAAAGATAGCTTGAGTTTTAAGCAGCTACATGAGCTGAGGACACTGAAATGACAGATGTAGATCTGCCTGCTGTGTGTGTCTGTCTGTTTAGACCAGTTGTTCTCAACCTATTTAGATTCAAAGAAAATGACCCTTCAGAAAATGCCAGCTCTTAATTTTCATTCATTTTTAACTACAGAAAAATAGATTAAATTTCCTGCTGCAAGGAACTTGAAAGACAACAACGTTTTTAACACTATGAATTCCTATATGAAATCTCTGGGTTTATCTTTAGTGTTATGTTTGCACATCTAACAGAGCTAACAGTGTGTGGCACCCCGTGGCACCTTTGAAAGGATTTCAAGGCACCCCATGGTGCTGAACACCCTGGTTCAGAATCATTTATCTAGACTAATTGGCCCCACTTTTTAATGAAAATTGGTGCCTGCTTGTGGAATTATACATCTTTCACACAGAGGCCAGGCCTAATTGTGACCTCATAGGTTTCTCCCAGTTTTTATTTCTGCCACCCCCAACTTCAAGGTTGTTTATTCTCAGTTTATTTGTTTCTGTCCTTATCCTGAAGTCCCAACCAATGAATTCGGTGATTCTGATTCCTGCCCCTTTCCTAAGGACCTTATTTCATGCAATACATCTGAAGTTTTGCCTTTCCAATTCATGTTTTCTTTGCCTTTCCTCCTTCCTCTTCCCCAGTCCTTCAGGTGGGACCTTTTCAGCTCCCCATTCTGAATTTTTACATGTGAAGAGGCCCTAGGATTTATGGAGGTGGCTGTGGCTATAACAGTTGCTTTCCTTTGAAATCTGTCTAAGCTGCAGTGTCCTTCATTTGCACACTTGTTCATGTCCACACACAGAAATTAGGTCAGTGACTGTCTTCAGCAGCTGTACTCTAGCCTGAGGTGTGAGCACGTGTCAGATGGAGGGGGAGACCAGTGGGTAGCACAGCCATAAGCTAGCTCTGCAGGGAAGGTTGTAACTCCTTTCCCACCACTTTACTAGGCAGTGTGCGTTCTACATTGATGAAAGGGAGGTCTCTACGGTTATTGGAGCTAGGCCTGACAGAACATGATTGGCAGTTATTTAGTGTCTCTTCTGTCAAATTGATTGACATTAGTATTTCAGTGCACTCCGCAGGGGGCAGGAATTTCACTTTCTCTATATAGTTGCAAATACTAAGAAAGTTCCATAGCCATGTTTATCCTCTATGGTGGCATGGTTGGACCATTAACGCCACATGAATCCCATGCCTTCACTCCTGCTCACCACTTTTCCTGCAGTATTGAATAGCTCCTTTGCTTTTGTTCCTTGGGCAATCATGTGATCAGTGGAGGTGCAGTAAGATTCTTCCAAACTAGACATCACTTCCAGCAAATGGAGTGAATTTTGAGGTCTCTGGGCAGCCTTGTATCTCAAGTCCTCTCTCCCTTTTCTTAATGATGCTAGCGCCATGTGTCTGAGAGGGTAAGGATGGTAAAGGGAGATGGGATCTTGTTCATAGCTAAGATTTGTATTCAGAGCTATTGGAATTAGAGATGCTAGTCACTGGGTTTTGACTGGTACATCTTCCATGCTGCACAAGAATTAAACCTTTGCCAGGATTTGAGAGATGTAGCTATGCATTGAGGAAAGAAGTCAGTTGTCAAGCTTCTTGAAGGAATGCAAGAACCACTTGTGCAGTGGGAGGGACTCAAAAATATATTCAGATGCCATGGGCATACATCTCCAGAAACACCACCCATCCTGCACTGCACCTGTTTCCTTTCACTCAATCCCTGGAAATTATCAAGAGCAGATTGGACGGGCATTTGGCTCGGATGGGTTAGTCAGGGATGATCCTGTGCAGTGGGCTGGACTAGCCAGCCTTACTTTCCTTTGTAAACATATACAATCCTACGTTTCATACCTGATGGAGTGACAGAAACCCAACCCTGAAGTCCTTTTTTGTTGTTAAATACATAATGCAGCAAATGTCTTGTCACTAAGAGATCTTAACTTTATGGAAGTGCCAAAGCTGTTTCTGTATCAGGCCAATGCAATCTTCCCTGGTCTCTCTCTATCCTCTGTAAATGTCTCTGCTGTGGTTTGCAGCATATGGAGTAGATAGAGCTCTGTGTACCTGAACAGTAGGGCAGCTGTTTGGAAGTTATGTGGAGAAGCTCCACGCCAACGGAGAGGGTACTCTTCAGGTCCCTGCTTACCCTAATTTCTTTGTAACTACAGCAAAGAAAGACCAGGAAGGTGGAGAGGAAAAGAAGAGTGGCCAGAAGAAAAAGGTCAGAGAGCTCAAAGTGTTGGATTCAAAAACTGCCCAGAACCTTTGTAAGTACAATACACAGGGATCCTGGTTTTCTCTGTTTAAAAATTGAAAATTCTTTGATTAAAAAGAAAAAACGCCGATTCTCTGATTAAAAAAACCCCAAATCTGCATTTCTCTGCAATTAAAATGAAACGCCACTACACACACACACACACACACACACACACACACACACACACACAGAGATTTCAATTGCACACAATGCTTTATTGATATATTTACAATTTTAAAGCAGTTTTGAAGCCTGCCAGTGCCTCATTCATTATAATAACATAAATTCTAAATACCTAAATATTTTGGCATTCAATTTTGGTTTTTCATCATGGAAAGTCAGGTGCAGCTGTCCTTCCTCCCCCCACCCCCCAATGCCACTCTGTGGTTCTAAACAGCCTTGATATGCCCATGCCTTGCCCCTGCCACTACCCCTCACTCCCAAGCCACAGCCCCTCCAGCTCTGCCAGTGCCCCTCACTCCTGACCCACAGCCCCCTGGCACTTCTGGTGCCCCTCACTTTTGACCTGCCGCCCCTGGGCCCTGCTGGTGCTCATCACTCCCAATCTAGAACCCCCTGACCCTGCCAGTGCCCCTCACTCCTGACCATCTGCCCTCTGCCCCAGCCCCCCAGTGTATGAGGAAGAGGGTGGGTGGGGAAGGGGGGATGTGGGCATAGGCACAGTTGATGCAGGGGGGGCATGTGCCCCCCAGATTTCTGTGCCCACAGTGGGGCACAGGGCTACAGCACAACTGGACCAACTCCGGGCAGAAGCCTCCTCCATGGCCAAGTGGGCAGGACTCAGTGAAGGAGGAAATGCCATGCTGCCATAGTCGCCAAGGCAAGGCCCCCCGCTAGCCACCCGGCAGCAGTGGGGGCACAACTCCATGCTGCTTGCCATCCTCACCTTGGTGGTCATGGTGACACGGCACTCCCTGCTGTACTAGACCTTGCCCACTGGGCAGCAGAGGTAGCTTCTGTCTGGAGCTGGTTCAGCTTGGCTGCAGCCCTGTGCCTCACTGTGCACAGAAATCTGGGGGTAGGTATGTGCCCCCCTGCCTCTTCCACACATCTCCTGTGCCCTCCCTGCTGCATCACATCCCCACTCTCCTAGACTTACCGGGAGAGTGCTGCGGGAGCTGCTCTCCACTGCTGACTGACTGCCACGTGCATGTGCACACGTGCATGTAGTGCCCTCTGTCTCCTGCTCCTCCCAGCCCCAGGCAGCCGTTTGGAAGCTGGAACTCTGCCAGCCTGCAAGGGGAAACTCGTTGTTTCCTGGGGTTTTCTTCTTTAAAGGAGAAAATCCCCTTTAAAGGGTTTTTTTTAGAAGTTTTTCTCCTCTAAAGGAAAATCCATTTTTTTTCTCCTTTAGAAGAGGAAATCCACGTTTTTCCTCAGCAAACGGAAAACCCAGATCCCTGATGATGAGGTTAGGTCCTCTCTTCCAATATCTATCAGGACAGTTGGTCCCAAGGATTTACTTGTGCTTCTTTTTGGATCCTGGCAGCAATATTCCTTGGCTCCTTCCGTATGCCTTATGAGGAGATCAAGAATGTGATCCTGGAAGTGAATGAGGCTGTATTGACTGAGTCCATGGTGCAGGTGAGTGACCCCTGTGGTAGGTATTGCTGAATAATTATCTCCTGTATCTGCTGGATTGAGGTCTTTATGGAGAAATTAGCTGATATAATAGATATCTTTCCTAAGAACATTGGCTCTTTCTTAGCATCATCACTTGGGTAGGAAAACCCCCCACCTCATTTCCATGGATTTTAGAGGTTTCAGTGCCCAGATACTGGCCTCCTGAGTTGAAACACTGGATGTATGGCTGAGAGAGCTGCCTTTGCTCCAAGTCACAAATGACTCTGATTTAAATGACTGCTTCATTGACTCTCCTGTTTCTCCCTCAGAACCTGATTAAGCAGATGCCAGAGGCTGAGCAGTTGAAGATGCTGTCAGAGCTAAAGGACGAGTACAGTGACCTGGCTGAATCTGAGCAGTTTGGTGTTGTGGTGAGTGCCTTGCCATTTCAGTAAGGGAGCGCATCACTCTCTCTCTTCTGAAAGGATATCGTTTTACAGCTGTTGCTATGTACAGTATCGGATGTCTCCCCATTAGCCCTGCAGTGTGTGATGTTTAGTCCCCTTCCCTTCTGATCAGGTCTTTCTCCTACCAGACATGTCCTGTTTTCATAGTGTTACTTTTGCATATCTCCTATCTAGGAGCTGTGTATTGTACCCATTGCCTGAAGCAACGTTGGGACAGTTAATCATTGGAGGTTTGGCACATGCTGATCCTCACATTCCTCCTAACATGCAGAGTGGGTCAAACTTGTTACCTCTGCTACTCTGTGGTTTTTCAGGCAGTGATTTTTGGTTTCCCCAGATTCCTGCTCCATTTGCAATTGGTTAGTGTTAACTTTTTTTCAGAAAGTTTGGTACTTTTTTGCTGTTTAAAATATCCTTTGGCATCCCCAAGACCTCCTGGATCACCAGCCAGAGATTAACTTAAATTGGGTATCTCATGCCAAAATTACTGTGCCATTATTACCAGCTTGGCTGAAAGGCACTCTCTTTGGACTGCTTTGCCTATGGTGGCTTTATTCTCTTGGTTTGAGATGAGCTGAAAGTCACCCTGTTGAAGGAAACTGTCATTTTAATCCATAGTATGGAAGAACCTGGAACTAAGTTTCTGACTCAGCAGCCTTAAAGGCTATAAAAAAAACCAAACCACCTCATTTCCATGGATTTTAGAGGTTTCAGTGCCCAGATACTGGCCTCCTGAGTTCAAACACTGGCAGCTCTCTGAGAGTTATTGAGAGAGAGTCTTCACTTCAGGGGACCGATATATACATTTATTCTTTTTAAGGTGATTTAAGGATGCCAAGATTGCTGTTTCCTTTCCAGGATATTCTCAAATTTCCTATAGGCATAATCTTGTTCTGCACTCTGGAATTTGGTGCAGTTTTTGTCTCTTTTGTAGGATTGTGCTCCAGAGTCTGTTCTTTCCCTTAAAAAAAGTTTATAGCCCTTAGGTAGAAAAGCTTCAGTAGTACAAATAGAGTCTAAACTGATGAGGTGTCATCTGTTTATGTTTGCAAAGAGTCAAAAAGTAGTACTTAAAAGAGTTGACCTACCTCACTTACGTTGGGGCACTGACATCTGTACAATTTCTCAGCTTTGTAATTTGATCCATTCCCAGGATATCCTGAAATTTACTATATTGATGCCCAGGCATTTTCTTTTCCATCAAAACCCTGTCTTGCTGGGAGACTAGCACAAGGAGAACTGTACTAGATGACGGTGCGTTTTACTTAAAGGATCCAGGCAGGTAGGAAGACTTGGGAAACCAAAGAGTAGGGGTCTGAAAAGCAAAAGAAGACATGCATGTAAGCTGGAGAACATCACCTGAGGCATGGGGAATTGGGAAGAGAAGCTGATGAAACCATCAACAAGCTCCCTTTTTTGAGGCATTTCTGGAGAAGATGAGATTCTGAATTGGATTATACTGGATGGTGTCAAATGTGCCAAGTTGAGGTGCCAAGAGTACAATAGTAAAAAAAAAAAAAGAAGAAATAAAAAAGTGAACACATTTTACATGAATTTGTGTTCAAAACACTGGGCCATAGCTGAATATTTTGAGGGGTAGGAAAATGAGAACTTTTCTTGTAAGGTTATTTTTTGCCCATAGTACCTAAGGCTCCTGCCACACTTTACACGTAAGATATGATTAACCAGTTAATCGCGTCTTAAGTCACAACCTACCACACATTAAAGCAATTCATGGTATCATAAAACAAGGAATAAGCAACAAAGTTATTCAACAAAAAACGTGTAATAACTTTGTAGCTGGTTCCTAACATGCCATTAATTGAACATGTTGCTAGGTGTACCCCATAGGGTAACCCCATCAGCTGCAGGCTCCCAGCCTCAGGAGCAGCTGGTGCACCCTCACAACTGGGAATGCAAATCAGCAAGCTGCTGAAGGGGCTTCCAGCCACAGGAGCTTGCTACTTGTTGGTGCAGGGGTAGCCCAGGATCATGAACCTGGACACCCCATGCACCGGTAATAAGGCATGATGGGATCTGATGCTCAATCCCACAATCATGCCTTCCGCCATGCATGTGGAGGAAGCACGATTGTGTGGATTGTGCATCAGATCCCATCTTACCTTTACCTGCACATCTGACAGGGGCCTCGCATAACTAAGAAGTCTTAATTTATTACAGGAAATATGTGCATGATGTGTTTTTCTCTTGTCATGGTTAATCTTGATTTGTTAAATCTGGGTCAAGAAAGGATTTCTCTCAACATCAGATTGGTTTGCACTGGTAGTGATGGGGTTGGTGGTCTCATGGGGTATGGTCCGTGCCTTAGGATCATCTGGGTATATTTTACCTAACCAGTTCCTTACAGTTGCAGGATCCCAAGACCCTAGTGGTGCCCTTGTCTGTCTCTCACTTCCTGTGGCACACTGTAGGTTCTTTTTTAACCCAGGGGCTTAGTGGCAGTGATGTGTAAGAACGGATGTTTCTGTGGAGCTTTTTGAACAAATCATTGCCTACAAACATGGGCAGGACTCAGTAGTCCAGGTAGCTCTTTTAGTCTTGCATTCCTAAATGAATGTTGCCTTTGAAGTGAAAGGTTGCCACTGCAACTTTTGGTCCCATTGTGCTGCAAAATGCACAAAGTCCTGCCGATAGATGAAAGGTCTAATATCCCAGTAGTTACCATTCAGTCTGAGTCAGAATTCCAGCTCAGACAACCTAGTTAATAGTTTTAAGGAGATCATCACAAGGGGTACAAGGTCCACTGTCAGACAGTTTCTTCAGGTAAATCTTAGTGCAAGGGTTAAAATAATGAAACACCTATGAGAAACCGAGAGCAGTAAATGATCCCTCCCCTTCCTTGTTTCAAAGCCAGGTCGTTGGCTTGACTGCTACTGAATCTGGCTTCCGTGCAAGGGCAGGCTATTGCAGTTCTCAGGGACATGGTTGCAGTTTCCCTTACTGTCCCTTTTCTCTTGTCTTGCTTTCTGTATGATACAGAGCAACAAGAACTAGATTACATAATTCTAATAATTATTTTAGGGGCCCATTCCATGTGGTATATTTGGACATTCTTGCACTGCTGAAAGACCCGCCTAAACTCTGACCAAAACCTTCAGAAGGAAACTGGATATTGCATTCTGACTTAAGTGCATTGGAACTTTAGAAAATGTGCAGCCATGGGAGGGACATTACATTCGTAACAAGAAATAGTGCTGCAAAAAAGTTCAAATGGTGTGTTGTAGAAAAAACACAGTGGTCCCATGTCAAGATGTTAACTCTTTTCAACAACAGCTTCTTAACAGTGCAGTAATTTGTAGCATCACACGTAACACCTGCAGTTACATGTAGTGCCACAGGTTGTAGTTCAGCCCTCCAGCATTCCAGGAGACTGTTCTTTGTCCCCTTCATCCTAGTTCCAAGGAGCAAGTCTAACACCAAACTCTACTGCCCCTGGAAGGTAGAGCTTGGCTTTGTCCTATCTTGCTCAGTCCTTTCTTTCTTTATGAACAGGATAAAATCCTTCCTGCTCAAAAAAACATGGCAAGAATATACCTCCCAAATCCTCCTGCCGCACCAAAAGTATCTGTTCCTGGGGAGTCAATATCTCTGGCATTATCCACCAGCCAAGGAAGAGCACGGAGCAGGAACTTGTGGGTGGTTGAGTTCATGTCCAGGCCCTTCAAAAAAAAAGTTGGCTCTTAACTTTTACAAGTGGTAAATGGTATGGCCAGAGCAAAGGATAGACTTTTCAGCACTTCTCCTGAAATGGAGGGAGTGTCAGAGCCCTGCTGGGTGGTGTGACCAGGAAGTCCCTGTGTTCTTAGTGCAGTGACTTGATGCTGTCATTTGGAAAGGCCATGGCTGAAATGAAAGGGAGACTACAGTTCCCTCCTGAAGCAGAGCCAGCATCAGAATTTTCTCCCTTTGCTGATCTCCCATGATATGATGAAGTGGGTGAATCATGGTGCCAGCACCTACTGGATAATCAGAGATACTTTCTGCATTGCTTTGCCCACCAGGGACCTGCCTATACCAAACTTGTAGGCAAACCAAAGACTGAATGGCAAGGGCCTTGGTTGTGTTTGCACAGTTTTACATGGCACTGTGCACCAACATGCGCAGGAGCTGAAGAGACTTTCTGAAAAAACAGTGGCAGGCCTTGTTTCTGTGCCAGGAGGAGTGTGGCATGCACTAGATCTGGCAGCATTGTTGGATTGTGACCCACACAGTGTGCCAGCAGCAGGGTTCTGTTGATGGCTAGAAATGAAATTGATGAGCCTTTGTCAGTGGAAACTGACTGCGTGTACTGTGGCTCTGTATTGCCAGCTTTGTGGGGCGGGGGGAATCCCTGGTGGATGTGGTTACCTAGGCAGCCAGTTCTTGGCTGCCCATGGGAACCTCTGCAGATGGGGGCAAGAGGCCGCAAAGCACAATGGGAACACTGCACGCTCGCTCCATGGTTGTGGAACATTAACAGTAAAAGCTTTTGCCATGCCCTGCAGTGCTCTGGACAACTAGACATGTGAATGGCTGTACATCTATTTCATACTGTGTTTTAGTGGCACTGCAAATTTGCTGGAAATTCTTAGCATTTCAAATGAGTGTCTGCCTGCAAATTCAGGGCACTTGACTCAATGTCTGGGGAGACCCCTTCTAGTCCTATATTCCTAGGAGTGTGGTGTCTCAGGTGTGACCTATTCCTGCCATTTTGGAGAGGGTTTTTTTTTGGTGAAATCTGAGTATTATTCTTTTAATTGCTAAGGTACATATAGTGCCTATAATACACATTCATCGATTCATAGAAGTAGGGTCAGAAGGGACCTTGTAGATCATCAAGTCCAACCCCCTGCCCTGGGCAGGAGAGAAAACTGGGCTCAAATGACCCCAGCCAGGTAGACATCAAGCCTCCTCTTAAAGACCCCCAAGGTAGAAGCCATCACCACTTCCCTTGGAAGTTGGTTCCAGATCCTAGCTGCCCTGACTGTGAAGTAGTGCCTTCGGATGTCTAGTCTAAACCTACTCTCTAACAATTTGTGGCTGTTATTCCTTGTTACCCTGGGGGGCGCTAGGGGGAACAGGGTCTCTCCCAAACCCTGCTGGTCCCCCCTGGTGAGTTTATAGATGGCCACCAGATCCCCCCTCAGCCTTCTCTTACGAAGATTGAACAGGTTCAGGTCCCGTAGCCTCTCTTCATAGGGTTTGCCCTGCTGTCCTCGGATCATGCGGGCAGCCCTCCTCTGGACCCTCTCAATGCTGTCCACATCCCTCCTGAAGTGCGGTGCCCAGAACTGAACACAGTACTCCAGCTGCAGCCTGACCAGTGTTGCAAGGGGGAGGATCACCTCCTTGGCCCTGCTTGAGATGCATCTGTGGATGCACGACAAGGTCCGGTTAGCCCTACTGACCGTGACCTCGCATTGTCGACCCATGTTCATCTTGGAGTCAGTAATGATTCCAAGATCTCTTTCTGCCACTGTGCTCTCAAGAAGGGAGTTTCCCAGCTTATAAGTGTGCTGCTGGTTCCCACTGCCAAAGTGCAGCACCCTGCACTTGTCAGTATTGAAACCCATCCTATTTTTGTTAGCCCACCCCTGTAACCTGTCCAGGTCCTGCTGTAATCTGTCCTTCCCTACTAGTGTGCCCACCTCACCCCAAATCTTGGTATCATCAGCAAATTTAAACAGGCTGCTTTTTACCCCATCGTCCAAGTCACTAATGAAGATATTGAACAGTGCGGGCCCAAGGACCAAGCCCTGGGGGACTCCACTGCCCATGTCCCTCCAGGTCGAAAAAGTCCCGTCTACCACTACCTTCTGAATACGACCCTTCAGCCAATTTGCAGTCCATCTGACTGTGTAGGCATCAATGCCACGTCACCTAGTTTTTTGGTGAGAATGGGGTGGGAGACAGTGTCAAAGGCCTTGCTGAAGTCCAAAAAGACTACATCCACTGCGACACCTGCATCCAGTGTTTTTGTGACCTGATTGTAGAAGGCAATCAGGTTGGTCTGGCAAGACCTGCCCCTAATGAAACAGTGCTGGTTGCCCTTGAGCATCATCTCTGCTGCTGGCCCATCACAGATGTGCTCCTTGATGATCTTCTCAAAGAGTTTCCCCAAGATTGAAGTAAGACTAATGGGCCTATAGTTGCCTGGGTCCTCCCTCTTCCCTTTTTTGAAGATGGGGACCACGCTGGCTTTCTTCCAGTCATCTGCACTTGGCCAGAGCACCACGAGCCATGCCAGGGGCCCCGCAATAACCCCTGCTAATTCCCTGAACACCCTGGGGTAGAGAGCATCTGGACCTGCTGATTTGAACATGTCCAGCCCCTCCAGAAGCTCTCTAACCCGGTCCTCAGTGGATGCTTCACAGTGGATGGTAATTGTGTTAGTACTTGCCCTTTGGTGAAGCTGTATCTTAAAAGTTTTTTATCTTTATACCAGAAGTCTCTGTGTATAGAACTTAGTGGTTGAGGTTTGAACTTTAACCTTCCCAAGTATGTGGATGGATCTGTTGACTCAATTCATGACCAAGATAGTGAGTTTCTTTCCTGGTCAATTCAGTGTTCTCAATCCAGATTTCATGTCCATGGTGGGAGGCAGGCCTTTCTATCTGTCTATTTAAACACTTCTGAGTTATTCTTCTGCACATTTCTGTTGCTTTTAATATTTTGGACCCTAATTCAGAAAAGAAAGTCCTCAAATGTGCATTTTAATTTGCTTGAGATCTTTGAGGCTACAGAAAGAAGTTGCTTTAGTGTTTTCTTTAAATGGAAGTGTTCAGTGGAAAATCCATGAAATACCATATTATTACAAGTATAAGTTGATCTTTTTCTGTCCAAAAGAACCATAAAAATTATATTTGACATACACGCTGGGTCAACCTATAATTGTATTCCCAACAATGTTGACTTCTCATCTTGCAGTATTTTTGTGTATGCAATAAAAATACCAAGTCAAAATTTCTTCTCGGCGCAGTTTTTATTTTGGTATTTTCAGTGCATTTAATTTTGTGTCCATTCCTTGGGGGGTTTTTTTGCTTCTCCATTGATTTTGAAACGGCAATAATAGCAGTTCAAGAATATTATCTGTAGTTATTAAATTATATTTGGGGAAAACTTGATGTGTTTTTCCCCTTAAAATTGAACTTGAAAGTGTGAGTTTAACACATATGTTGGATCAACTTGTAATTGGAATATAGTAGTCTGTTTGCCAGTAGTGGAAGTTCTCTACATCTGTCCTCTCTTCAGGTTTTTACTTGATTTGTCTATCTTTCTTCCTACTTTTGCAGGTTTTGGATTTGACTTGTACTTTTATGGTTTTGGATTAGATCAGGGATGCTCAACCTCCAGCCCACTGGCCAAATACAGGCCACAGAACCATGGTATCTGGCCTTTGGAGCTCCCCATGGGTAGGGAAATTTGGCAGTGGGGTGGGGGCAGCGGCAGTTAATATGACCCCACTCCCCCACTGCCAAATTCCCAAACCCTGCAGTGGGTTGAAACCAGGTCATGCCCCTTTCCCCCCCTGACCCATGGGGCTGGGTCATGCCCCTTCTCCCACAGGGACAGGCTACCCCCAATCCTCCTCCAGGCAGCCAGATAGGGCCCAGTGCGCCCACCCCAGGCACTGGATCGGGACCATCAACAAGATCTGGCCCGCAGACAGCAGATCTGGCCCACTGTTCATCCGGCCTGCTGAGGAAAAAGGTTGAGTACCACTGGATTAAATAATTGGATATGCAGAATGGAACTGGGCATGTTCCCAGCTTCACTTACAACAGTCAGATGGGGTCACCAGCTTCACTTACAACAGTTAGATGTTATCTAATGTTTGACTGTATATATGTATGTGTGCATTCAGTGGTTAACTGCTCTTAAATGATTCTGGGACTTGGAAGGTGATACTGCAAAGGGCTATGATCAGTGATAAGTAGTCCTCCTACCTGCCTCCCTATTTTCTCAGATCATCTTGGTTTCCTTTCCCCTTGTGTATGACACTGTTCCTGTCCCTTTCCCTTCTCAGATTAGCTCGGTTTCCTGCCTGCGGCCCCGCCTCAATGCCATCCTCTTCAAGCTGCAATTTAATGAACAGGTGGAGAACATCAAACCTGAGATTGTCTCAGTAACAGCAGCCTGTGAGGAAGTACGCAAGAGCCAGAGCTTCTCCCAGCTGCTGGAGCTCATCCTACTGTTGGGCAACTACATGAATGCAGGCTCTAGGAATGGTGGTGCTTTTGGCTTCAACATTAGTTTCCTCTGCAAGGTGAGTGCCTTCCATGGGCAGGATAAGGAATTGCTCCTTCTGTCTATTCCCAGTGAAGCCTTCATTCACTTCCATGTGGAACTGCAAACCACTGTTGGCTAGTCTGAAGTGCTCTCTGTTACCCTATTCTTATGGTCAGTTTTCTCATTTCCAGCTACGAGACACAAAGTCCAGTGATCAGAAGTTGACACTGCTGCACTTCCTGGCTGAGCAGTGTGAGCAGTTGTATTCTGAAGTGCTGAAGTTTACTGATGATTTCATCCATGTGGAGAAAGCCAGTAGAGGTATCTTTCACTAGAGCATGCACACATGTGTTGGGGGTGGGGAGAGGAGGGGAGGGAGCAGAGCGAGGTCATAGAAGGTGTGGTCCTTAGTTAGATGGAAAGGTGGATGGGTACATAAGAGTCCTAGTCTCCTTATTTTGTCTAGTGAAGGGTGGCTGGTGGATGTGGCTGAAAGTGATAAACTGGATCTGGATCATTTTAAACAAAGACAGTTCAGTTTGTTTCTTGGCAAGGGGACTTCTGGCTGAGAGACTGTTGCTGAATCTGAAACTAGTTTATAGCAGTTGGCAGTTCTATAATGTATGGTGGGAGAAAAGCCCCTCTCCATGTGGAGAGAATGCTAGGCCGAAACTAGGTCATGCTAAATAATATAAATGACAGCTGGAAGGAAGCACCACTGTTGTTTTGTCATGTTATGGAAGGCTGCTTATATTGAGTCACTGTCCAGGGAGAGGGGAAAGAGAAGAAACAGCAGGATGTGGACTGCAGATGTATCCT